GACAAATAGAGCTTTCCGTTGGTGGTATTTAATCAGCACTTGGGTTTTTAGTTTTTCCTAAAGAAACTGAAAAAATATTGTGAAAAAAAAGTTTTTCTTATTTTCTGTTATAAAGGTTTGTAATGTAGTGATTTTTCTCCTTCACTGATGTGCGCTGATGAGGCTGCACTGATAGGCACTGATAGGCTTCACTGATGGGCACTGATGAGGCTGCACAAATATGAGTCACTGATGGGCACCAATAGGTGGCACAGATGGGTATTGATAGGTGGCACTGATAGGCAGCACTCATGGGCACTGGCAGGATGGTCATCACTGATGGTCACTGAGCCAGCACTGATGGGCACTGCAGCACTGATGGGCACTTATAGCAAGCACTAATGAGCACTAACAGCCAGCACTGAGGAGGCAATAGTAGCCAGCACTGATAGGTACTGATAGCCAGCACCTATGGTCACTAATACAAAGCACTGATGGGCACTATTAGTCACACTAAGGTGGCTACACTGATCATAATGGCACTGGTGATCAGTGCCCTGATAATCAATGTAGATGTCCCCTCTGAGAAATGCCGCTTACAGGCTCTCCTCTCCTCACATGCTGTCAGCGTGAGGAGACAACTGCCAATAACCAGCATATACTATTTACGCTGTGATCAGCTGTGACTGGACACAGCTGATCACATGGTAAAAGGCTGCTCTGATTGGCCCTTTACCTGGACACATGATCAGCTGTGTCCAAAGGACACAGCGATCACAGATTGTACCCGGTGCGCACCCCAGGGGCTCGTAGGGGGGTATGGTTCTGGAAGGATGTCCATGAACTAGAAAATGTTTTTTTATTTGTAAATGTCAGTTTTGCTATAGTAGTTTGTGTGCGTATACCACTTTACAGGTAGGGTTAGGGCACCCCGTCATGTTATTTAAAGTGGAATGTTAGTCAGAAAATTAAGTCATGCTAGAACATTTCAGGCTGGCTCCTTTTACAGGTTAAGCTATGTAAAACATTAAAGCAGAACTACACTGTATTTAATCACCACAAACCAAAAATGCTATTTTATTCATTTTTGTTATTCAAAGTAAACTGAGCTATCCATCTATGTCTCCATTCTTTATTATGCTGAGCAATCACTTTGAAACCCCTACCCCTGCTATTTGTGTCTGCGGACATCTTGAGTAAGGGCAGATGATTCATGTAGCATTTACTTCCTGGAATCCATCTGTCCTTAGCTTAGGCATACAGGCAGGTGGGTGTTCTTAACTCAGCAATCACCTCCTTCCCTCTTGAAGACTACTGGGATGTATTACATTATTTGCCTATGCATGGAAACCAGGAAGTAACTGAAGAAATGTAAAAAAAAAAGTTTAAAACAAGTAAATATGATATACATTCCTATCTATTTACTAATGTTAACAGCATAAGAATTACAAATAAACAGTGTTGACTGAGACAGTGAAGTCCCTCTTTAAGAATAAGTACCTATACTGTTTAAAATCCTACAATACACTGTCTCACTCTGCTGTGCACATACTCAATTGCTCTTTTTTTTTGGCACCGTGTCCAAAATAAGAACCAGTAGATCTGACAGCCTAAAAATTTACTGCTGCTTAGGGACTCTGGGCTTCAGCAAACTGGCAGCCTTCAGTAATAAGAAACAGGAGTAATTGTGGTGGCAATTTAAAGCACACACTAATTTTCTTAGCATAATTATTCTTGTGTTCCTTGCTAAAGACCATTATTTTTTATCAAGTTGTTATGGGTAAAGTTCTGCTTTAATGTAGCTTTGCATTTTTATAATAATATAACTTTAATAAGGTTTAACTAACTTTAGTAATGTTTGCTGATCCTTGCTGAACCTTGCCCAAACCAAACTTTTCAAGAAAGTTAGGTATTCAAATAAAAATGGTCTTTGGTACTTTTTTGTTATTAGACAGTCCTAGGGAAAGGGTGGGCCGTAGGATTCTACCTTTATTTCTTAATGCTGTCTGACCTTCCTTCATTTGTTGCTGCCTACCCTTCTTCCTGGGTTGTGAAGGATTGTCAGCATATTGCCATAGGTTTTCCTCCTGAAGCTGACTATACAGTATATAAATAAATGAATATAACAAAAATACAACTGGCTGCTGAGTTACTGGGGAAAAAATGCTATGTTGGCAAAGCAGAGGAATTGCAGAGAGTGCCTGGCCCCAGTTGTGTGCAGCCCACCAAGTGCATTGATACCAAAAAATACAGAAGAAAAACAAAATTAAAAAATATTATTACATATGAAAATAGTGTGCAGTAGTATAAGTAAAAAAAAACAAAGCAAACAAAAAATTATAGATAGCAACCTGCCACTCTGGGGCAATCCAGGCCCAAAAAATTCTCTCTTAGATTACATCAGGGCGGGGATGCAGTGAAGTTTAGACAAAATGGGGCACATAACGCAACAGTCTAGGTGGCACTTGCTGCCCACTGACATCTAGAGATCTACGGTATAGTCATAGAATATTTGTGACTATTGTCACTTAAAAAACACTTTTATTTATATTTTAAGATAAAACCTGTTTTATACTGTATCTTTCTCTTGGATTACAAGTTAGCCAAGCTGCTTACATACTTCCCAGCCACTGAACAATATTTGTGGCTATTGTCTCAGATTGGCTTTTTTTTTTTTTTCAATGCAAAAATGCCTTTCGCTTTTCACTTGAATAATCTAATACAAAAACGAACAATAAAACCTTAGCACAACTATATATGTTTACAAACACCCGTTAAGACCTAGGTCATTTTGGATGGGTGAGCCTCTGTCTATGGGGAAAGTGTGTTTGTGCTGTAAGCGTTAAAACCTTCTTTACTGTTGTGGTGAACTGATTTGAAATGTATACTTTATGAGCTCATCTAAACTGCGTATTGCTATTGGTACACAAGATTTGCACTTTGAATTAAATTGCTGTATTTAAAGTTTTACTCCTCTGGGAGTTTCAGAAAGACTTTTTTCTTATCTAAGGTTTTATGCACTTTATATATTGGACATTTTATAACTCATTGCACTTTCAATTGGATTGCTGCACTGAGAGCGTTAAGCTCCTTAGGGAAGTTTTATGTGGATTTTGTTTCACTTAATGTCTATGCTCTTTAGGTTTTGGAGATTTTATTTTTTTTTTTATTTATCTCATACACATTATATTGCACTAAGCTTTTATTGTTAGTTTAATAGTACTGTATTATATTAATTTATTCATACGTACTATATATCTTTAAAATGGAAGTCCTGGCTAATATTACCCTGCAAAAGAAAAATGAATATACTTACCTATTCTTAGGGAGCCCCAATCTGGTCACATGATCGGCTCCGAGCTCCAGCTTCAGGGGAGACAGTGGACGATGGATGCCCTACAGTAAGCCTATGGGTGACTTCACTGCCCAGGCATTGCATCCATTGTTGCTGCTCTCTCCTATTCATCGAAGCCTGTGAGTGAAAAGATCAATTGACCAGACCAGTGCCTATAGATTAGGTAAGTATACACATCTTCCCTTTCTATGGTAGTTAATATAGAATTTACAGTGTGGGTGGAGGTTTGATTGTGTAGTCAGTGTTTGGACATGGCTAGAATTTTGTTGTTGGATTTTGTTTAACTCTTTGTTTTGGAGCACTGTAAACAGCCTTGTAAATAACACCAACAGAACACCATTGCTTGTCACTATACCATTAATCTGGTATCTGCGCCTCACACTGTACAAGTGTTCAAGTGTTCATAGGAAAATAGAAGTTCTTAAACTATACTATTAAGGTAATTGTTTACAAAGGCTTTAGCTTGATGTTTTAAGAACAACTTTCCTCTAGATGTTAGATATGTTGTGGCTGCAACATTTACTCATTCAATTCATATCTATTATTGCTGAATTTAAAAAAATGAAAAAATCAGGTTATGTTGAAAAGAATCAGATGGGATGATGCTGCTGTTTTAAGCCAGGCTAAATATAAAAGCTAAAAAAATCAAATACACATCTAAAATATATAATGCCAGAATACGGTGCCCCTAAAGCTGCACATGAAAATTGTACTGTTCCATAATACCACATGCAGTATAAAGGCACCTCCCAAGCAATTTTTTTAATTTTACCCTCAAAGTTACATTAAAAAAGGCCCTCTCCTCTCTTTATGATATTTAACTTTTTTTTTTGTGTTTGCTTTATTAAATGTTCTAAATATCCAGAATTTTGTATTAAAATTCACCCACCATAGACTTCAAAGGGGTGCTACATTTTCAGATTTCAAACAGGATTCAATGAGCTCCTAGCTAATCTAACCCAGGTAGATTCGATCATCGCTACAGGGTAGCAGTGAAGCAAAGGAATTCACCTTGCTTTTATGGGAACAAGTTAAAGTGTACAGTATGTAGTATAAATAAAACTTTTTTTTTTAGTTTTTGATTAAATCAGAACTTTACCCATAACAACTTGATCAAAATAATGTTTTTTATCAAGGAACATACATCCCACATTAATAATTATGCTACCAGATTAGTGGGTGCTGTAAATTGCCTCCAGCATTGTTCCTGTTTAATTTTGCTGGAGGTTGCCAGTTTGCTGAAGCACAGAGCCCCTGAGCAGCAGTAAATCTTTAGGCTGTCAGCAGAATGACCTCTACTTTTTTGGCACAGTGCTGAAAAATAGAGAGCAACTGAGCATGTGCAGAGCAGGGTGAGACAATGTATTATTGGATCTTATACAATACAGACACTTATTTTAATGTTTTACATAGCTATACCTGCAAATGGGGGCAGTCTGAAATGATCTAGCAGGACTTAATTTTCTGACTGAAGTTACACTTTAAGTAGTGAAATATTATTATTCTCTGTCAGCTTTTTTATTGCTCTGTGCTACCACTAGGGTACCTAAGCCTCTCTATTTTTCTTGATGACTGAGAAAGAAAGTGATGGAAAATCCAGCATTTACATTTGTCAACAGGACAGAAGGAAAAAGAAAATATTTCAATGAGGACAACCGCTCAGTTGACCACTATCTAATGCTTTGCATTGCACTTGGTGATGTAAGGCTTGGATGCAGCTGCTCAGTCATGGAAACCCATTCCATGAAACTCTCTCTGCACTGTTGTTGTGCTCATCTGAAGGCCACATAAAGTTCGGTGGTCTTTAGCTATTGACTCTGCAGACAACTGGCAACTTCTGCGCGCTGTGCGCTTCAGCTTGTGCTGTCATTTTACATGGCCTACCACTTTGTGGCTGAGTTGCTGTTGTTCCCAGTTGCTTCCCCTTTGTTATAATACCACTAACAGTTGACCGTGGAATATTTAGTAGCAGGGAAATTTCACGGATGGACTTATTGCACAGGTGGCAACCTATCATGGTACCACACTTGAATTCAATGAGCTCCTGAGAGCGACTCATTCTTTCACAAATGTTTGTAGAAGCAGTCTGCATGCCTAGGTGCTTGATTTTATACACCTGTGGCCATAGAGGTGATTGGAACACCCGAATCCAATGATTTGGAGGGGTGTTCCAATACTTTTGACAATATAGTGTATACAGTATATACACACTATGTACACACACATACACACACACACACACACAAATAAAAACATTATTCACACTATATAAATTAAAAGTTGTAGAAGATAATAAGTAGTATGCACGTACCTCAGTAGCGAACTGCTGAAGTCCACCAATGTTAATTGGACCTTCCTCTGTTGCATATAAATTGCATCCACCTACACAAAGGTCTGATGTTGGACATACCATTCCACATGTCAAGCCGAGTGGGTTATCAGAAAAGATAGTCCGGGCAGCTCCATAGTAATTCTGCACACAGAATTAAGTCATCATTAAAATCCCATTAATGATAACACAGACATAATATAATGCTGCAAGCAATCATTCTGCAGGTTGTTATGCTGGATATTTTTACTAGCTGTTTGAGAAAGAGAGATATGAAATAAATATAAAGCTGTGTATATGGAGAGATGTGACGTCTATTAATTTAGAAATCAGTTGTCCTTGTCTCTGTCTGGCTCCAGTTTATGCTTGTAACAGTCATTTATGCAAATAGCTAATGCATGATGTGCAGTATTTCTAGCTCATTTTTACAGTAAACATACACATTAAAGCTTAACTGCAGGCAGATATTACAAAAACAATTTGTGCATTTATGAAAGAAATCATTAATCCATTCATAGGTTGGGGACATGTAGACTTCTGCTTTTTTAAAGAGCAATGAAGGGGTTAGAATCATTGCCAGTTTTTTATTTTTATTTTTTTTTTGCTGTGTGTCCACATTAGGGAGATTTACTCTCTGCAGACATGGGTCCACCACTGCCATGAACTGTAAATCAAAAATTAGGCTCCCCTCATCCCTAGCACAAAGCTCTTCAACCATGCACCTGTCAATGTGACCAGTGAGTGCACTGAGGAAGGAGTGTGTACTATAGACATTCTGACCTATGTCAAGGCACAAAACTGTAAGTGTGACTTACCTGTCATTGCATGTACTGAAGAAAACAGTCTGGAAAAGACATGGTAAAACAAACTGCTACAAAATTCTTCAGAACAGAATAGGGTAGGAATCTACAACAGAGTTCGTGAAATCCTTGCAGTGCAGGAACACAACCTTATGACTAAAAGTGAAGAGGGGAAAATCCCTGAGAGGTTAAAAAAGGCAGTTTTTGAAGGGTCGAGGAAATGAAATTCAAATTCCATGGACTGACAGGTAAGTGCACAATGGGAACTACATGGGAGGTAACTTTTACAGATGGTATTAAAGATTTGGAATCTTGTGGTCTCTGGAACAAGGTATCAAGTGCAGAGATATGCCCTTAATGGTACACAGGGCTAAATGCTAATCAAGGACTAACTGCAAAAGGGTTCATCCCCAAAAAAATTTCTGGGATGAAAGATTCTTTCATCTCTTTAGACTGGGCCTGTCCAGAGGATCATCAGGATGCCCTCCATCTGGACCCTGTGTAGCAGACAAGGAAGCAGTTTCAGAGGAGGAAAGGCATATATCAGACTTTATTGATGAAACTGAGTCATCAGATTGTCCACTGCTTCAGCAAGAGGATCTCTGTACCTGGAGACAAAATTGTCCAGTTTGTTTGTTGAACTTGAAAGCCAGGAGGACCACATTAGGCATCCTCCACCTTTGATACAGGTTATGAACCTCCTAGGGCCCATTCCCTGGATACAGGTGATGTTAGATGAGAAAGTCTGTCTGCCAATTGTCCATGCCTAGAATGTAAATAGTGAACAAGGCTGAACATGAGATCCTGCCCAATACATAATCATTTGTAATTGTTTTGCCCATGGCAAGGCTTCTGGTTCCTCATTGAGAGGAGAGACATGCTACTACTGTAAATGTTCTGACTAAATCTTGATTGAATGACACTCCAGTTGGGATGTGTATTGTTGCAACGACAACCAAGTTGCCAGCAGAAATCAAGTGTCTAGGACTCCTCTCCAACCTGAAAGGCTGGCACCTTTTATGAGGATCTCCCAAGAGATCAAAAAGAAAGATTTCCCCAACTTTAGAATTGGATTCCTGAGTCACCAGGTCAGAGACAACCCAGTTCTTGGTGTCAGGCATTTTGGTTTTTCTAGTGACTGAATTAATTTGTCCCACAATGATAAGATATTGAGTTATAGTGTACTTGGAATGGAAATGAGCAAAGGAGTGGAACAAGATTTGTGGTTGAGCTGTACACCTGATTTGGGTCTTTTTTTTGAAGTTGAAGCATGGGAGTAACAAAATAATTTCTTCATGGTCTAAATGGTAAATGGGGTGGGGGGTGGGGGGTGAGCCTTTTCTGTCTGATGTCTATTTTTCTGTTGTTGGGTCACTTACTCTGTTGAGTACTCTTACCACCAGTGAAATCCTTGAATGCCCTCAAAGGGCATGTGCAGCAACTGTTTTTATTAGTTGTCCACATCTCCACTCACAGGAGGGAAATTTGATGGGAGATATACACTAACCATTAGGGCTGCTGGCGTAAAGTTAAAATGCTCCACAAACAAAGGATCAGTTTGGAGAGAAATAGGACCACTTCTAATGGTCCTAATCTAGTCCCCTAAATTTTGACAGACTAGCATAACACCTAAGGCAGGTTGAAATGCAGGGCCAGCCAGAGAAAACAAAATTTTGAAAAAAATCTCTCAACGTTTGTCAAGGAATTCCTAATAATAGGTTCATCCTCTACAGGGATCATCAGTTTTTTTTTAAGACAGGATAATGTCAGATCCATCAAGGGAACCATTCACTTCTTAATAAAAGGCTCCTCAAATGGGTATAGGACTGCCAAACAATTAGCAGATGTGAACATTTTGTTGGAGTCTTCCAGTCCCCATAAAGGACATTGTGCAGACTTAGGGCTTCCAAGGGATCCTAGAAAGGTAGTAGCAATGGTAGAAGCTGCAGGCTGATGTTCCAGTCTCAATTTGGAGAGCACTTCATCAATAAGAGCCAAATTGTCTCCATAAGCCTAGGAGTAATTGGCATGTGTCTCCTCAGAGACAGCATCATCTATTAAGGATTTCTGAGAGTCAGCCTAAGAAAACCTTTGTGATAAAGGGCGCAGAGGCTGCTAAGGCTACAGGCAGATAAGATAATGACTCCTTAAAGGAAGGCATTGAGGTATATTTATAGCCTCTGTGGTAAGTATCAGCAATTAGGACACTAAGAAAAACTCAGATGAGTGCAGAGGCTCAAGAAAATGACAACATTCTAGACGGTCAGTGTCAAGCCCTTGAGTGGGCTCACTATTGATAGAACTCCAGCTGTTAGTGGATTTCAAGCTGGGAATACCTGGTAACTGGTTTGCTCCCTCATAGTTTGGGATCTGACATGGAAAAGCAGGGAAAACACAGTACAAAATAGGCCCAAAAATACTCACAAATCAACTACTGGTAACATGAGAGGTTCAGATAGACAGAAGTGACCAGGTCTCTGTTGGTGGGCTAGAAAGACTAACCAAGAAAGATCCCTGAATCACTTGCAATAAGAAATAGTTTCCTCACATTCCAGGCAAGACACACAATTGGCTAGTCCTGCACAGTCCAATTATGGCCTCTAAACCTATAGTAGGGGATACTGATTCAGATAGCTACACATAGAACTGGTGTAGGACAATCTGAATTGAATTAAAAATAGTCCTGAATTCAGCTAGTAAAAAATAGGGGAAAAATAGGAGAAAATGTATTTTTTTGTCTGAAGTGAAGGGAAATCTCTATAATAGAGCCTCAGATAGCAGAAAATACCAGATGCAGCTTTTCAAGTCATAGAAAGGTCAAGATACACATATGGTATTAAATAAATTCATGAAGACTCCCATACATCATCGAATCTGGTCAGACTGATCATTTACGTGCAATGCTGGTAATATTAGTATTTTGATTTATCTCAGTTTGGTTTTAGAGTAGATGCTTTGTACGTATGCTTAGATATTTATGTTATTTCATATTAAAGGATCGGTTCACCTTTTGAAAATAAATAAATGCATGTATTTTTGCAGGTATTTATTAGTTTTATTTCTCAGTAGCCTGCATAACATTCTGGGTGCAATGATTGGCTCCTGTAGACTCTTGTTACAGCTCTCTGCCCATACCTCTTTACGGGCTTTCTGTTTGAAATCTGCAGAACACGTCAATGAACTACAAGAGCACTAAAGAGCACCCTTGCAGTTAATTGAGAACTACAAGCCACCTGCTGTGGTGGCAGGTAGCACTTATAGTTAATTTATTCACAGATTCTTGTAGATGAATGATGCGGCTGTACAGGCGGATCCCCACATAGCTGAGTTGTTTTTGAAATCCTACAGCGAGTGCAGGGAGAGGATTCCCAGCCCACTGTCACTGGAGGGGGATGGGGGGGGAATGTAAGGACACAGGAGCTGGAACATGTTACATGTTACACCCTAAATACAGGTGTAATGTGTAACATTCTCCAAAAGGCAAGCTTGTCCTTTAAATATGTGCAGTGCTATCACAATTTCAGCAGTAAATACCTGCAGGGGTTCTAATCCTTCCCCACTCTACAAACACTTTAAGTCCAAATACATTTTTCCTAGAATCTTCCCCTTTTTATAAATGCTATAGGACATTAAAGTACATCTCACAAAGGGGTAGGCTGCAGAACAATGACTTTTAAAATGATCAAAAGACAATATGTGCAGTGCAATAAAAATATCAGTCGAACAACATTTCTATAACTAATCATTCTTATTCACTTTTACAGTTTTTGAAGCATGGAGCTAATGAGAACTGTGTTCGTATAATGTTCTAGTGAATATAAAGCAGCTTATACTTCTTTCCCTGAACCAGCTAGACACCTTTCTGTACAAGTTTGCAGCAGCTGCATATAATTCTAAGGGATGTCCAAAGAAATCTATGCAGTTTTTTTGTGTATGTGAAATACTGTGTCCAGCTGTCTTAAG